AGGTTGGAGGCCATTGCTACTAGGTTGGAGGCCATTGCTACCAGGTTGGAGGCCATTGCTACTAGGTTGGAGGCCATTGCTAGTAAGAAGGCGGGCGTCCGCTGCGGCCGTCCGACAATTTGGTATGCGCCGGTGGTTTCGGTGATTTCACGCGGAGGACGTTGCACAGCGTGGCTGCTTCGGATGCAGTGGACCTCGGACCTCAGTGAGGTGACCTGTAGCGAGACCTCAGATGTAGATCTATGATCTCCAAAAAGAGCTCTGTTGGAGCTGCATCTGTTGATATCATCACCTGGAGAGATGATAGATCTATGACATCTATGATCGGTCTGATGCTCTCGTTGGAGCTCTGTTGATATCACCACCGAACGACCTGCGATCGCTGGTTCCACGACCTCGGGGTCTTGAAAGAAAGGCGCGCAGTGGCGCATCATGTCCTGTCGCACGTGGCCACGGATGAACCCATCCCTGTTGCATTAAAGTGTGCCAAGTTCAGAAGCGAGAATGGAACAAAGCAGTTGAAATGTGCAGACTGAAACTGGTTGACTCATACGGATTCCCAACCATTGAGGTTAAGTAGAATTCAGAATTACGTTCTATTCAAATATGCAAACATATGGGAAAAAACATATGGGAAAACGATGCGAACCAAACACCGATCTCCTGGACGCCCTCCTTGGATGCCTCGAAACCGAAGCCGGGCAGGATCGCCTGCTGCACGATCAGCGCCAAATCATCGCGGCCTCGTGGTCGAGCGGACGATGCCCCATCGGTGCACATGGATGATGTGGAACAAACGATCGTCCAGGTTGGTCGACAAAAGCACGTGCATCACTGTTGGTTCCGCTATGCCAGCGTCGAAGTCAAGTTCCAGGAGTGACCTTCTTTGGGGAACTTATTGCGTGTGGACTTGCCAGGTTGCCTAACGTTCAAACCCAAAAAGCCGGTCCCGCTTCGATTGCGACCGCTTCGCCGCCGGTTGTGGCCTTCTAACTCAAAGTAGCCATCCGGATCCTCAAAGTTCGCGCTGGCTCGGCTGGGGTCAAAGACCCTCCTGGCACTGCCGACCATTGAGAAAACAAAGAAGTATCACGGCCATGGCCTCCAACCTAATTACATTAATTACACAGTTACACGCTAGTTTTCCTTGAAAATTGTAAGTTTCCAATTTCCATATAATCTGTGCAAATTACACAATGTTTACCTCATGTCCCTCGTTTTTGCATTCGCATCCCGGAATGTACCACCTCGTTAAAAACGATTCGGTAAATATTGCCCCACCTCGTTAGTTCCACCCCGCGCAGCAACTTAATTCTGAGGGGCGGGCGATGACCGGCGCAGGTAGTAGTGGTGGTAGTGGTAGTGGTAGTGGTAGTGGTAGTGGTAGTGGTAGTGGTAGTGGTAGTGGCAGTGGCAGTGGCAGTGGCAGTGGCAGTGGCAGTGGCAGTGGCAGTCGTAGCAGTAGGAGTAGTAGTAGTAGTAGTAGTAGTGGTAGTAGTAGTAGTAGTGGTAGTAGTAGTAGTAATAGTAATAGTAATAGTAGTAGTTGTTGTTGTTGTGGTGGTAGTAGTGGTAGTAGTAAGGCTTAGTAAGTGCCTTTCGATTTTTTTTCCAAATCACAATTTTGCGTGGCTGAGGAGATGTTTTTCTTTGAAAGCCGAAAATTCTTGACTGTTCACCTCGTTACCTCGGCTGGGGTCACCATATTTTGCGCAGATATACTTACACGCTCCTACTCCTACTTGCTTCTTGTTCCTAGTAGTAAGGCCAGGAGCCCCTAGTAGCGTTCTTGCTCCTACTAGCGATGCCAGGAGCCCCTGGTAGCTTCCTGTTCCTACTCCTACTTGCTTCATCTTCCAACACCAACAACATCCCTCATGCCTGTCAATAGTAAAGTTGGAGGGTGGGTGTGCTTGGGAGAGCACACACTAGCTCAAAACCTGTTTAGAAGACACTGTAAATACCGTGCAAAATTTAAAGAAACTGCTCTGGG